TATACTTTAGACTTCTGATCTTATTCACAACAAAGGGGCTTTGATAGATTAAAAGTCATATCATAATATATAGTTGTTTAAAATTTGATAACTACGTAAGTATACTGAATCTATTCTTGCACCTTTTTTTTTTTTTTTTTTTTTTTTTATTATTTATATAATGTTCACTGAACAATTATACATACATCACTACCTCGACCACTACACTTTAATCTACACTACAATTATCATAAAACCAATAGGTATACAATTTTTAAATTGTAAACAAATAATATAATTTTCTAATTTTTAAAAAATATGTAAGACGTAAGTATAAAAATATTAACAATTTCCAATCGTTGAAACTATTAATAATAAACGGCCTTAAAGATTAATAAACTTACCACTTATGTTGTTTTATTAATAACTATTAGAAAATAGAATTAGACACAGTCCAATGAAAGTAAGACTTTGGTAGTACGACAACAAAGGCCAAGGTTAACCTTTTTTTAAGTCTAGAACGATTTGGCATCAACTTGTTAAACAAAGACAAATATATATAATATATATGTTAAATTATATTATATAGAACGTAATATAGCAAAAAAATTTTCTATTTATTGTTCATAATATATCTGACCAAAATTATTATTCAGATAAATACATCATAGCTGATATTTACCTAATCAATATAATTATTTAACTAATAAATTCTATACATTAAGATAAATATGGATATAAATATTTATACATTTAGGCTTAAAAATTGTATTACAACATAATGTATAAATAAAAGGATATAGCGACCCTTTTGAGTAACGAATTCCAGATGTTACGAAAATAACTTATAAGATTTTAATCATAAAACAATTTTCAATGGTTAATTCTGTAAATAATTACTCTATGGCATAGTCTATACGGTATAGAAAATTGATATTGACATGAAACGCTTCTGCTTTTCGTCGACATTTCAAAGAAGAATATTAACAATCAGGTAAACACTTAAGACAAGAGTATGTGGATTCTGTCGACTGGAAATCATAAAACTTTCATGACTTCCGTTTTAATATTCCAGCATATGCTCTTGAAGTGAATCAGACTAAGACTAATGGTTATAATATACTTGTATTTTTACATTAAAATGAAATAATATTTTTTATGCATGTTCAACATAAACATAAATTATTTAATATAAAATAAAATAATTTAAGTAAGCATTATAAATTAATACAAACACGTTATACAAAGGTATAGTATTGTATGATATTTTACACATATCTAATAATATTAAATGATATTCTGTTATATAACCATACACAATTATAAAATTAATAATATTTATGATATTTTTTTCAATTGAAATAATATTATTTGTCTATTGTGCCTATCTATTCACAAAATACATATTTTTAATTTTTTTTTTCACTCCATCCACATTATGGTAATAAGTACTTAAACTGATCATTGCAAAAATTCTGTCATTAAATCATAGATTATAAAAAGTATTCCTACCTATTAGCCTCGCTATTAACTATTATATTGAATGCAGTATAAATATACAATGTATTAACGAGAACCAACATGGTGGAATAAAAACTTATAGAGCATTACATAGTCGGTGCTGGACTAGGCGGCAGTTCTAGTTAAACAACCCGTATGGTAATAATAATCGCATGAGGCGGCCGTATTCATTTAAATACAATTGTAATCACGATTTGATGAGTCACGTACAAGTGCGACCGGAAACCGATTACATTATTATAAGCATAACCTTCATAGGCTCGTAGTAGAGAAGTCAACTTTTTAAGTGTAGGTATATTATATTACTTTTGACCACCTAAAAAAATAGAATTTTCAACTCTGAAATTATATTTAAATAATATGACATAGACACTAGGTACCTATTTAATACTCAGAACAAGTTAGATAACATAATACATATAGATGTGATAGATGTTTATAGGTAAACAAATAAATTATAATGAAAAAAAAAAAAATGTTTCTATCGATCAATAGAACAATCATGTAAATGTAAATATAATATACATCACATTGCTGATATTTCGGACTCAATGTCCAGTTAGTGTGGTTTTAAAGTTTTATATAAAATTATAGACACAATACACATGAGGAAATCGGAATAAACCGTTGTAATTTATTGTTTTAGTACATTTTACATCAAAATATATTATATACATGGCTAGATGAACTGACTAATTTATTTTTGAAACAATGTGTTTTTATTGGTTTTGAAAAGTAATAACAATTGAATTTTTACAAGGCATCAAGATTGAAACGAACGAGAAAAAACTAAACAAAACGTGACCATATTAAAATACGGTTATGATACCGTTAAAATTGTGTTTATTTTCTATGATATGAACAGACCACAACTAAAAATCCAATAACCAAAACTTACTTGTTTTATTGAAAGCATTAAATTTATGCCACGATACAAACACACAAATAATAATGATATTAATAATATTAGTATATTACCATATACATTTCATATAAATAATTAGGAGTAAAATTCGTTTTTGATATAAATATATTATAATATCTATTTTAACACCAGTAATTATTGGTCGAATTGTAATTTAAATAGGATACACCATACACGTAGTTATCACTTATGAAATATCATTATGTATTACCCATGTAATCATAATATATACCTACTTATTAGTTATCACTATGATAAAACCAATTTAGCTATAGTATTTTATTAATAACTTTTAACGAGTATTGACAATCAATTGGAACTTTGAAGGGCGAACTTATACAAATACATACATCAGTAATAAGAATTGACAATACAATTTATAAAATGTGAAATATGAGACAAATATATTTATTTTTTTTTTTCATAATCAACACTAGTGTGTTTGTTATAAAAAATAGGTTTTTGCATAAATAAAAATTTTTGTAATTAAACACCAAGGTCAAAATATGAAAAATGAAAAAATATAAAAAAGATTTATAATAAATTATTTTTGTTATAGTACCTAAAGATTTTTCAGGGTTTTTCTCACAAAAAATAATCATTTAATTTGTATTTTCTTTGCTTAATTAATTAACACAATCTATTCAAATGTTATTACCTTACCTTTTACTATTACTTAAGTATAAGTGATATTTACAAATAATTGTTCAATGATTATAATTATAAATATTCTCTTTATAATATTATATATAAAAAAAAAAAAAAACACAAATAAGTGAAAAATAACTTAATTTTATGTTACCACTAACAAAAACTCCTAGAATGTCGATATATTTTAAAAAAAATCTAAAAATGTTGATATATTTATAAAACTCCAAAATTGTCGAAAAACACATTTAATAGGCAGTATTATTTAGATATTTATATATTTTCAATTCACTAACCTAATTCTTAACCTATCATTTTTTATAAAATTTATGTAAAATATTTACTCATATAATTTTAATCGTTATTTTATATTAATTTCATTTAAAATAGTGTCACGTTATTTTAAATTAAATATTAAATATAAACAGTAATACCTAATAATATTAATTTACCTACTTTATTTAAATATTGATTATTAATGTTATTAACTGTTATTTTTTTAATGAAACAAAAAGTGAAGGTTGATTTCAATCAAACATTGAATAATTCTATCTTACGTCTTAAATATCAAATACGTACTTTGAATTCCTTTTTACATACAAAAAATCTAATATAATTTAAATATACACATATAAAGTAGGTATAACAATATAAATGTGTAATAAATATGTAAATTATCATTACAAAGATTTCATAAATGCAAAGGGTTTGGTATGGTAACAATAGGGTAACCCGTATTTCTTTGACTACAATAATCATAAATACCCCTATGAAAAAAAATATATTATTATATCTTTAACAGAAAAACTCAAACATAATATAAGTAAATGTTAGTTTCCTAACATCCATAGTATAGAATAATAGGTATAACTGCAATCTCCAAATGAATAAGCCTAATGAGGGCGTCAAAGGGTTATCTTTTATGAATTTTACCCAACGCATTAAATACAGATGGGTAAGTGTTTTACATCAGAAAATAATAATAATATGACATCTGCATGTGATTTACATAATTTATTATTTAATAATATATTTATTTTATTAAAACCTATTTCTATACGCACTGCTCATCATAAAGATATAAATAATATAAATCATAGTCTTGTTTTCTTGGTTGTCCTAGCTACAAAAACTAGCGATAAAAAGTAAAAATCCATAAATCACGTAATAAGTGCTGTTAATTGAATAGCGCAATTATTAGTTCCTACACAATAATATCTTATATAAACGATATCAAAACATAAAAATCTGTAAAATTCACGTTTTTCTGAAAAATAATACACTGTTCCTACGTATTGTATATCCAAATACTGAGTATTATCAATTATTACTTAAATATATATATCCTTGGCCTAGTTATCAGCAATAGCTACGAATATTTTTTCTAATATTATTATTATTAAAAATTACGCCCAATATTAAACGACGGTGGAGGTATGGTAGGTATGAAATGTACGATAAATGATAATGCAACAATACAAATAATAACAATGATAGATAGGTACACAATACGCACACACATACACAAAGCTTTTATAAAACAGTGGTGGAAAATAAAATAATTATTTATTAAACAATTTGGGAAACTCATTTATAATCGATCTCCGATCAAGCGGCCATCGTGCCTACACTAAGCCCTAAGCCTACAAAAATTGCTTATAACGAGTAAATAACCTACTCGTGTTTATAACACCTATTACTGTCAGCACAGATTCTGAACAACTATTACAAGTACCATTCGATATTCAGTATTAAAATTCCTTATCATCGTCTGTATTTCACCCTACAAAATTTCATGTTCTGCAGAAAAACCCACAGAAAAGAAAAACATTCCAAAAATAAATTAACAATTCGATGACTTGACAAGAGTAAAGCTTAGCCCGGGTAAATGAAAATATGATAACGGATTCAAAAGAATTATTTTTACCTTATTCGCACCAGTCGCGTTGTCGGTGCTGTCCGATGCGTTTGCGGTGTCATTTGCGAAAACTGACAGATACACTTTATTTATGATTGCCACCTTTGCGACTTCCACTTAAGTTGCACAACTCCTAAAGCTAGTAGACAGCGAGTTGTCATATTTGTTTCCGGGAAATGTATTGCAATTCATTCATACGCACAAATTAAATGTAATATATTACCACCGGTGGTACGATCAAAATTTGCAGACGCCTAACACGTATCGTTTCACCTCGTCACAATAATAATAATAACAACAATAATAATCAAACATAACGATAATAACAAAAAGAAATTGAGCAACTACCGACGACGGAGGATTTCGACACTATATCACGGGCACTGAACTCGCGAATTTATATTAATTTACCATTTTCACCAATCGGCAAACACACCAACAACACTCGACACAGACGGTCGCGATCGTTTTCGGACGATTACGATGTAATAATATGACTTAAGGAAAGGACCACACTCTTAGTAATTCACATCGGTTTTATCTTTCAATTTTTATTTCACGATAACCTCGACGAAACAGTCGAACTTTGCACTACCATATCGTTCTGATAACAATATCGTTTGTGATTAATGAACACTACACACGGACCGCGCACACGCACGCAACGTTCACAGACACTACACTGCTGAGGAATAGACTGTGGCAGTGACTGTCTAGCGAGTGGTGGGGACCGTGCAGTTCCAGTGTCAACACGTCACAACCGAACTAAATGTCTCGGACCGACGGACGCGCATAGTTGGCAGCGCTGCAACCTCGCGGCGGCGAATACGATAAGTCGATAAAAATAATATTATTTACTTTGTAATTTCTAATGTGTGAATTTAGAAGAAAAAATGACAAATATCCAAAGATTCCAAAGCTCAAATTGAAGGGGTTCGCACTACGCAGGAGAACGGAGCTCCTCTATTTTATTTTTTTATTTGCGAATCTCAACTATTGATTTTAATGGAATAGGGGAACGGTGTAATCTAATTTCCATACTACATAATTTTTCACCAAATATGGGTTTAAATTATTGTTGTCACTTGTCAATGAAACTGTAATAATTATAATTTTTTGATACCTGAATGTGATAAATTTTATAATTTTTAATTTTTTTTTTTTCTGTTAAGTTTCAATTTTATTGACTTATTCACACCATTCTGTCATGGTACGAAGATATTAATACTTACAAGTTGGTAAGAGGCAAAAAATAGACAGTAATGTAGGTAAGTACTAAGTACCTACACAATTAGTTATTTTGCAAAAATCAGTTCAACTTTATTGTATTACCTATGGTAATAGCAAAACAAATTAATATCAATATTTTATATAAATATTTAATAAAGTAACTTTAAAAATATAGATAGTTTTCGCTCGTAATTATTTTTTTCTTTTTTGGTATACTGCAATAATTTATTATTGACTTAAACACATCCATTACAGTGACCTATTCAACGAGAAGATAAATAAGTAGGTATTTAAGACCCCAATAACAAAGCAAGTTTCCTAATTTTGTTTACATCAAATTTATAAATAATAACCGTTATGAAATAGGTTGTTAACTATTTTACAATATTTTTGAATAAAATCTATTACGTTGATTAATTTTAATATGAATAATAAAAATATTATTAACTTAATAAATATATTAAATACTGCAGTGCTATATATGTTTATATCGAGGTTTATTACCTGTATTTTATGCAGCATATTATGTTATGGTTTATTCGTATATTCGCTCTAATTACCAACAGTGATTCATATGATACTATAATTAATGAAATAATGAACATTTAAATTGGTACCATAAAGTAAAATTTATATATTTGGAAATTTTGATGTTGAATTTACAGTTTATAAGTTAATTTGTTTGGTAGAAACGAACTATGCAACATAATTTTGTGTCAAAGAAATGGCACGTCGTTTATGCGAATCGCCGTCTTATGAAATAATAAAGTACCTACTTAGTCAATTGAATTTCTGAGTAATCACTAATCAGGGTAATCAATAAACACAATATAGCTATGTTCGCTGTATCATTTTTATAATATACCCATATCACAGAAATACAAATAGGAAGCCAATATGAAGGATGGACATTGGACAATGATCTATAAATCTTTTTCTAATTATTATTATTTAATCATATTATACAATACCTATTTAGGAAACATCTTTAAATGTAGTTAGAAGTTTTGACATAATAACATATTACGGATATTGATATATATATATATATATATATATATATATTTATTTTAAATTTTTTTATGATCAATGATCTTTTAAAAAAAAAACTACCTTTATATTATAATACTAATTATTTTTAAGAGTGTAAAATAAATACATATTATATATTATATTTATATTTCGATTTTCGTGAACTACTTTGTACTTTCTGCAGACAAGCTGCACTGCTGCAGTATTATACCAATATGCCAATACCTATATTACATAATATATATATATTTATTTTTATGTTTTATTTGTTAACAATTGTAATTATCATGATGTACAAAATCGGTTACTTTATATTATTTGTGATTACCAATTACCTAAATGTTAAACGTACAGAAAAAACAATTCAATATATATCAAATATATGACATGATAATTGATATTTCGTCCACACAAAATTAAGCAATATGAACACAATAACGTTTATATAAATTACTTTTATGTAAGTACATATTTGTTACAAACACATGGACACATGGTACAATACAACGTTAAGGGCAAAATGTAGAATACAATTTAGTACCATGTTATGTACCTAATAAATTTCCAACTATTGTCAGGTATACATTTTTGGTAATATATTAAAGTAAACATTATATTATATAACTAATAATAGTTATTAGTTGTATTATTTTTATATTCCAGACTTCCATTCTGGTTTTAATGCTATTTTTGCGTTCGCATGTCATATTATAGTAATGTACTGTGCCTGTAATGAGTTTAATGCACTTAATGGATATTTTTTTATTTTTAAAATGATCTACTTACGTTAACATTTGTTGATGACCATCGACTATGATTACATACGATAATTGAAACATTTATTTTTTTAGTAATATATAAATAATAGTTATTAATCTATTAGATTTACAGTAGATATCAATGTATTATTATAGTTATTTATTTTATAACACAGTACCCATACTTAAATTAATAGAGCAAATATAAATTACAATTCTGGATCAAATAATATAAAGCAGGGGCGGCCAAACAGTCGATCGCAAACGATTTTAAAGTCGATCGTGCTAGAATTTATTTTTAAGCTACGCTCACGAAAATTAATTATGGTGATATAGTAACTTAATAATAATAAAAACTTTTTTACCGAAGTCGATCCTCAAAGGTGAAGTATATTTTTAGTAGATCGCGGCCGAAAAAAGTTTGACCGTCTCTGATATAAAGCAACGGTACCTAGTAAACTAATAATAATAGATATACATTGTATTATATTACTCATCTTAAGGTATTTTATAATTTATCTATACAGGTAAACTAAAATCGCATTTTATTAAGGGTTTACTTAAATTTTAAAAACTTGTCTTACATACAGTTACACTCCTAAATCACACATGACACATTGCACGTGTTTATTTCTTGAAAATATGATGTAAGTAGGTGGCAATGTAGCATATAAGTGCATCTTACTCAGGACTTATAGAGTGACATAAAATGGATGAAAAGAGTATTTAGTTACTGTAATCTCTACACCTAGCATCCCATGTAAACAAATAATTCTTATTATTCACTTTTTCTTTTTTTATTGTATATGGCTTTGATATGATAACAAAATAATAAAATATATATAAGCATAAATATTTACTATACATACAAATTACAAATAAATAAATTTGAATAGAATTAATGACAAAAAATAGATAATAAAATTGAAAATAAATAATAATATATTAATATGTAATAACAACAATAGATAGAAGCAGAAAAGGAAAAGGGGAAAAGCTAAGGTTATGTTAGATTGATATTGTCAGTGAAAATTTGTCTACAGACGTAGATACGTCAGCTAACACATCCAATTTATTACTTTAAAACTGCATTTTTGAACGCTTGAATTTATTCGAATTTGGTTTGAGTGCACTCTAAAATCGAAATCTATATGTTTTACTGTTTGTTCGGCTCCACAGTGGCAGGTAATTGTCTCTAAGAATCCTTATATTTGTACAGTAAGTAATTTCATTTTTCCAGGTTAATTCAAATCCTGGCTAGCGTTGCCCAGATTTGTCGAAACAATTCAAAACCTTGAGGTCTTATGTTTGGGTCAAAGTTTAGAGGGATGGTTTTAACGCTGATTTTTTTCCAATGCTGTTTCCAAAGTTCGAAAAGGATACTATAGGTTTGTATAGGTTTGTAGCTTCGTAACATGACCAACTTTAATGTTTGAATGTTATTACGTTGTTACTTGTTATAGGTGAAAATTTTTCTGTTCATAAATACTTTTAACCTTTAAATTAATTTTCTATATTATTATTAGTTTATTTGATAAGTAAATAACTCCAAAATTTAAATTATATAATGATTATAAAACAGAATATTTAATTTTAAGTAGGTATACTTATAATAAAATCATAATAGGATATTTAAAAAGTAAATAAGTATATTTTCACATATTAAAAAAAAATATCTTTTTACATAATAGAAATAATTTTCATTATGGTTTACAATTTACATTGTATCTATTAATTTTCTTATAACCTACAAATATAATGATAAAGTTTTTAATATTATTTTACTAAATGTAGTAAAAACTACATTATAATTATTAATCACTAATCAAACATTTACTATTTATTATATTATGTGAAATATAGGTAAATAATGACATATTCTATATAATTCTAATGTTCTATGCAATAGTATATTTTCAAGCTGAAAAACATTAATTAAAATAACATATAAGATTTAAACGATAATCTTTCAAAAAAATATAGTTTATTGATATTTTAATCTAAAATAATTTAATATCAGATAGAGCGACGGACGTGGAAAAAATTGTCTACGTGAGTTATTAACCGTTTTCGACGAAAAATATCTGGGTTATCCGCTTCGCTCGCGAGTAAGTAGCGGAGTAAGTATCGTTAAGTTTATACAAACGTGCTCTAAGTATGCATGTGTATATATTTTTGTCTGAGATAAACTTAATAATTAATAAAGTTACGCCGTTTTCATTATAATTTCTTTAAAATGATAAATGAGGTACTTAAAAAGTATTAAAAGTAACGAGTTCCACGCATGGAAACAAATGTTTTTATGACTGTACTTAAGTTTTATGTGGTATTTATTAAAAATTACTTAGGTACCTAACACTTAAAATACTAAACAAATTACAAATTATAAGTTTTTATTAAATATTTATACTTGTTTTGTTAATATCAAACTAAATTACTGACCTTATCGGTAGGGTTTATCAGCACCTATTCTATAAATTCCTTACTATTAATTATAAATTTTTATTTGTGTTTACTTTTATGAGTTTTATGCAGTCATTTCACTTGGTATTTATTAATTTATGAAAATACCGATGATCGAAAAGTTGTCATTCCAATTTATATTAAAATTATGTTCTGTAATTAGATGATTGAATGTAAAAAAATAAAATCATTTTATGTGAAAGTCCTCATTTTGTAGTGGGTCGGGACTTGAGGCTCCTTATAGACTTCCTAAAGTTTGGCCCTGAAGAATAGCGTTCAGAAATAACAAAAATTAAAATGTGAATGAAGGCATTATAAAAGAATAAGATTCACTCGAGCTAGTAAGTACTTACATTAGTATATAGTATATACTATAATTACTACATACATTTAGTATATTTATTTATTATTATATAGACAATAGATATAGGTACCATACTTATATTTATTTTAAATTTAATACTATAAATATAAATTATTATAATATTGTGTTTTAAAAATGTGAAAAAATCAAATTATTCTAATAATTAATAAGCAATTGTGTGTTGATGTTAAGTTGTTTTCTAAAACCTTATAATATTATTCTTAATTTTGTTATAAATTCTACTTTTTTAATAATTTATAAGTTTATAACACAATTATAAGGTAAAATTTTAAATTACTATTAATATTTAGATACATATTTAATTAAAAAGCAAATGATTTTTGTTAATAGTGGATAAAAATGTATAACATAGATATATAATTTTAACAATTTGTGCCTTGTATCTATAACGCTCTAATTATCAAAATTAAATACTTAGATGTTCTGTGTACCTACTTAATTAATACATTTATTACATTACACCTATTATTTAATGATTTATGTTATGGATGAAGCATTTCGTAGAAAATATAATCCTCGTCTATAGCATTTGTCAATTTGATACCTCACTCCTCAGCACCTTAAAAACAAAAGTTATTTCAATAAAGGATTCGGATACCGCTTGTACAAACGTAGGTCGGTTGCCTATATTATACAGTTGTGATCATTAAGAGATATAGAGAGCTCATTAATTATACAGCTAGGACATGAACGCTATTATCATGCAAATTTTAAATCGGAGATCTTTATTCAGACCATAAAAGTTACCAGGTATAGCAACAAACCGTATCAGCATTGCGAATGCTTTATTCTTGACTCCCCATTAACGTATTTTATTAAGTTATTCATTATATTTAATTATATCATTACATTATTGGCCTAACAGAGGTACAGAGCAATAAGCAGCTAACTTATTTCCTTTATTACGGCATAGATAAAATTAGTAAAAGGTGTGCTAGGAGAAAATAAAGTAAGGTATTCAGGTATCATCCGGTTATAAGATGAAGTAAAATTTCGTTTAGTACATTTAACATAGGTATATTGTATAAACAAATGAGTTATGACTTATGAGTTATGAGCATATAATATGTAATTTACGTCATCACGGTTGTGGTGCACCATGTTCCGAGTACGTCGTACACACGTGTATGCCCGTCAGTACCTATAAAACTCAGACTTATCAAACTTCTCGGGTTTTAAACTGATAAATAATTTTATAATTTTTTATTTGTTTGTTAATTAACATTTAACAATTATATTTAATTTAAAATCAAAGTCCAGTGTACAATACTATACATTAAATACTAAATAGTAACTACCATAGGCGGTAGGCCTACATTATCACCATATTGTTTTGAAATCCTTTGTAGTTTGGACCATTAAATCTTTTATGCATAATGTCAATATTATGTATATGTATATGCGTATGCTACAGCAGTCAGCAATTGGATCATTATAAATGTTTTTTAAGACAGAACGTCCTTTATCCATCTTGAATTCTTTAATTAAATGCACATTCCTTATTATCCATATAACTTTTGAATAAAACAATATAATACCTTTATGTATCATTATTCCTTAAATTAATTGTCTTTGTGTTGTTTCACCAGATGATAATCCATTAATATTTATTTATGTTTTTCTTTTATAGATTACCTAGTACCTATAGTACATTTTTTATTTACACATAACTGTCTATATGTAATATTTCTCTATGAATTTAAACAATAAACTAGTCGATTATTTCAAAGACAAACATACATTTTCTCGAAAAGTATTTATGTTTTTGAAAATTGGTTGTTATTATTTTAAGTAGGTAATTATTGCAAAACAACAATTAAAAATAAAAATTATATTTTTATCCTTATTATATTTTAAGTTAAATAATAGCAAATATTGTGAATTTCATATTTCGAAGCAAAATAATTCTCTGAAAATTTCAATGTATCTACCTACTTTAATTTTTATAAAAATCGAATTTCAGACGTATAGATAAGTAAGTAATTCAGGACAGCGTTAAGGAATTTAAAATTATATATCTATATGGAAATTTGAAAATTTTTGTGTTTTTTTTTTTTAATAAAACCCGATAAAAATGCTTGAAAACATATTATTAAGTTCCTAATAATTTGTTAATTTCCCAATAAATAATTTCAAAAATTTATAGTCATAATATTTTTTTATAAATTTTTGAAGTTAGAATTTTGATAAAATTAGGCAAAATCTTGAAAATATACAATTAGTTTGTACTTAGTAAATCATAAAAAAAATTCTGTTTATACCTAAAATTTTAAAATTGAATACAAAGTTGTTTATACGTTTTGCAATCTTTTTAAAATATTTTTATTGGAAAATTTAATTATTTTTAATAATTATTTGAAGTTCAAATTTTTATCATAAGATATTCAGACGCCGTTTATAACAATTTCTTGTTTTTTGAGGTAATTCAAAAATAAATTATCGTAGATATTTGACATTTTTGGCAAATGTTATGCTATCATTTTTTACAGATGATTATTTTAAAAATATTTTGTTACTTTTTAAACTATTTAAAGTTATGTGAAATTTTCGATTTTTTTTTCTTTTATTTATATCAATATAAAATATTCTATGTCGAAAAATTCTTAAATTTATAACATAACATCCCAAATAAGCGGTACTTGTATTTATCATTTATGTTCTTTATATTTTTCACATTTCACGTAGGTACGATAATGATAAACATGTCGTATATACCATATGGCATATGGTAATATATTAAATATACTTATGACCTATGTTCTATAAAGTATAAAGTATTTAAGCATATAACAATCACTAATTAGTTTTAAGTAAAATTTTTAAAATATTTTAATGGGCATACCTTGATTTTGAATTTTGAGATTGGAACAATGAATAACTTGATAATTAGAATGATGTTATTTACATTTTTATTTTTTCGTTTACTCATTTTATAGTTATTAAATTATTATAGTATAAATAAATAATAATGCATTGGTCTTCAATTTTAATAGTAATTTCAGAAAGAAAATTGGATCTAGTTAGTTGGTATTATTGGGGAATGAGGGTCAAAATAAAAATTTTCAATTACTTATTATTTAAAATAATTAGATTGAGCATATAGCTATTGTAAAACATTACATTTTTTATAATCGCATTAAAATTATCTAAAAAAATAAATATGAATTATTGTGAGTAAAATAAATTCAATACATTTTTGTAAACTTTGATATAACAGAATTCTATAACATTGTCAAATACAATTTTATTTAAGTTAAGAATAATGTAGTATAAATAATATGGTAATATGATGACTATTTTATATTTATACATAACACTTTTATTTTTATTACAAATTCTAAATAGTAGATAGTAATAAATAAGTATAATATTTATAAAACATTTTTATATTGTGCAGGAAAATATGTATATCAAACAACAATATCATGAAATAAACATTAAGAGAATTTGTTCCATATATTTTTAAATTTCCATCAGTCTCTCCATAGCAGTGAGTACTTCATTATAATGTTTTCCTAAAACACAAAAATAACAATAAATAATAAATCATTTTTAAAACTAAATGATTTGTTTTTGGTTTAATAGTTTACTTTATGAGAGTTTAATCATAGTACACAACATTTTAATATGATAATTGAATATTAAAGCACATACAGGCAAAAATATTTTATTTTAATAAATTATAACATTTAAAAATAAGTATAAATATTAAATGATAAATAATTATGATATCATAGTAATTAGCTATTATGATTATTATCATTTAAATGTTTTTCATGTCCAAAACAATTTGTTTCAGATATTTTGAACCTGATCTTTCACCTTAACCTCAGACATCCTATAGGTCTTTTTTGTCTTTCTGGTATACTATCTCATATCAATTATTAAGTAAGCCTTTGTTTTGCAAGAGTAGTTAGCCACAAAGAACAACTTTTTTTTATGTAATTTACTATATTGGGTTACTGAAAAACTCCTTAACTTTTCCAATATTTTTGGTCCTCCATTTTTTTAAATTTACATCGATAGAAGGGTCAAAAATTGACTTCAATAGTTGTTTTCATAAATTAAAACTTAAAAGGTTATTGTACTTTACATTAAGGAGCATCCAAGTTTATATCTATATATAACCATGTATCAAATAAAGAGTTTTATACAGGTTATACTTTGTACCTTAAAATGTTTATATAGAATTTTTGTCTATCTTCAATCAGAAATAGCATCAGTTGCTTTCCTATATTTTAGTTTTTTATTTGTCTTGTAGTTCATAATTCTTAAATTGTAAATTTACCTGGTACTTGAAATCCTGTAATCTAATATATTTATAAACACCCACTTCTAGATTCCTTCTCAGGAAAAAACACCCAATAAGCTATCATGTCTTTTATACATTTATTTGTAATCCCATTCTTTATACTGCTTTTTATAGTTCTTGGGTTCATTTAATGAACACTTCTTTGTTGTCTGCTAATAGCACTAACTTTTTCTACCTAGATGTACTTCTCTTTATTCAAAGTTTAAACTTCTTCAACGATAAATTAAATTAAACTAGTAATTATGCATCCCCTGTTATAATCATGCAGTTACTTAGACAGCTACTGATAGTTTCCTTTTAATACTTTTATTTCAGTGTGCATAATGTATAATCTTATGAGGTTAATTAGTTTTTAAGGGTTTTTCTAGCACGAATGGTTGAATAGATAGTGTACAATTATAAATTAATTCATTTATAAACTATTATATAACTAATAAATAAAATTACCTCCAGGTGGAACCTTAAAATTACCGCTTATCAAACAGTCTTTTAGTTCACAACCAGCACTAATTACAGCATCATGACATACTATACAGTTGTGAAGTACACATCTGAAAATTCCAATACTTTTTATTATTTAAAATGCATATAATTTTACAATTGTAATAAATTGTGTTTAATATAATGTAATAAATACTCTGTCTCATTTAAGCATATTTGAATAAGAGGCGGCATTGGATATGGCTACTGTACTCCAAATATTACAATCTCAGTATTACTTATATAATTTTAACAAGTACTTTTTAGCTTGTATTTGAATAATTATCAGAAACAAAAGCTAACAACAAAAAAATTTGTCAAAAAGTCTGATCTGCGCAAAACAAGATAAAATTTAGTCAGACTTAAATGAGACAAAGTATAGTGTCATTATGTAATATTATAATAATGTATAATATCAGTTATTACAAAATGTCATTATGACAAAAATATAATTTGTGTAGGAATTATAAAAAAAAAATTGTATTTAAATTTTTGAGGTAAACAGTAAAATGTTTAATGTTAACATATTTTCTTGTATTTTACAAGAAATATAAATAAATAAATAGTTAAAACTATATATTTGATCAACGATTAGTTATGACACTGATGGCGAATTTAGATTCTACTGTACATAAAAACTATTTAACTATCTATTACCAATGACTTGTCAAACAATCTGACATTATTAAAAAAATATGTTACCTCTCTTCAATAGTAACACCATTCATTAAAATACAATCAGTTATTCTCGTTTTTGAATTAATTGTACATCTTGAACCAATAGTGCTACTTTTAATGGATGTTTTCTCCATTATTTTAGTATTAGGCCCAACAAAACAAGTTTCCTTGTCAAATTGATTTGATAAAATTTCAGCGTCAGGTGAAATTTTATCTTTTTCATCTCCTAAATTTATGTTTAATTTGTGAATCTAAAAATAAATTAAAAATTAAATAACATATTAATAAAATTATTTTTATTAGTTACTTACAATTTTGTTGATTCTACAATAATCATACAAAGTGTTTGCACGTATTCCAATATTTGAATCAATCACACAAGCATAACATTTAATTATCTCTTCAAAGTTAGATATATTACCAAAACAAGACATTGAACGAATATTAGTTTCAATATCAGATTCTTTTGATATGTTAAATATATCAGGTTTTTCATCTTCTTCATCTTCAATACACTTTTCACTTGGTTCAATATTTTTACTATGTTTTGATAATTGTTTTTTTACCACAAATGGAAGTAGCTCTCCTTTAAGAGTTGAAATATTACTAAAATAAATAATTAACAATTGTAATTAATAATAAACCTACATAAGTGGAAAATAAATGAAAGTTTAACTTACATATCTTTTACAAGGTAATTAACTAGCCAACGTTTCATAATATACATATGAGAATCTAATAATTTTGAGCAAAGAGTCAAGTTTGAACATTTTTTTAGTAATGAACTACTAATTGGCATAGTTTCTTCATAATCTGAAGCTGAAGCCATTAATAAAAGTCTAGATGTTTTTGAATCATAACCAATAATATCTTTTTCTATAAAATTTAAAATATTTATTTTAAATTCAGAATAGTTATTTAAAAAATAATAAAAATACATTAATATTAAAAGAGTGTCTTGTATGTTCTTTTAATTAATTTATTAAATTTTTAATCATTTGATTTTTGAAAATCAAAATTGCATAACTATGTTTATTAAAATGTTTTTTTTAAATATATTGATATTACATTAATCTAAAGGTTTATTTATACTTAACTATAATAATTTAAATTTTAGTTAAATGTATTTGATTATAGGAATATACGTTTCTTGAAATTGGAAAAAAAAATTTCTTTATTCTTTTAATATGCACATCAATATTTTATTATTTTGAAAAGTAAAAATTAAATTAAATTAAATTAATGATAATTTATAAAAAATTATGACTTTACCAAACTTATTCTTTGATTTAAGCCCGGGTACAGTAAAAACACATTGCTCATCTTGTGATGGTGAAAAATACAAAGACACTAAAGATGCGTTATTATTTCTGTAGATATTTAAAACTTGGTGTAAATCAATGTCAGTTATTAAATCACAACTAATAACAATGACATCAGTCTAAAAAAATAAACAAATATTTATTATCATATGACAAATAATTATTAATTAATACATAGTACATGTATATACTAATTTACTTATATTAATTAAAAATTACTATGATATAATCGGAGATATGTCGAAGAGAATCAGCTGTACCCCAATCTTCATCAGATGGAATTGGAACAAAACTTAAATTAATTTCAAAACCAAGTTGATCTACTTCTTCTTGTATATCACTAGCATAATTATCTGCTACTATTATTTTTGTATCTAAAACATAAAAACATAATATCAAAACATTGTAAGACACTACAGGAAAAGCAACATACATTTATATAAATCATTTAATTATTCATTCAGTAATTTTTAGATACTTTTAATTGAAATTATTATAGAGAACCTAATACATATACATATCTACATTATTATTAATGATATTTTCTTTAATTTCTTTTTGTTGTTGTTAAACATTTATTATTATTAAATAACTTAAACAGATAAGTAATTTATATTGATTGAATCACATCTTAAATCATATTCATGACAACATAATATTTGAGAAAATATATCTAGAGTGTACTTATAATAATAATAACTTCTAATAAATAAAAATTATTCTCATATGGTCATACAAAGATTTATGAATGTATGTTAAGAAACTGGTTGAACAACGCTAATCAATAATTAAATAACTTTCAGATACTTGTAAAAATAATTAACAATTTATTTATGATATAAATTTGAGACTAAATGGTATTTATGACATTTCTGAATTGTCATTAACATAAACATCATTCTTAAACATCTTTAAAATAAACTATAAAAAATAGTTAAAGCCTAAAGGGAACTGTATGAGTAATTACAAGATTTTATTAATTTAACTTAAATTATTGACTAATAGGTATGTACCTATATGTAACCTTATTTTACCTTATGTCAGGCTTTAGCATTTTCTTTAAATTTAACTAGTAATTGAATAGTTTTAACTTTATGAGGGTGCATAAAAAATTACATACCTATGTTATAATCCAGTTTTGGAGTACCATTAACAAAGGTTGAATCATATAAATCAAAACGTAGGTTAATTTACTATCATAATGTTTAATGACGTGTGGTTAGTATTTAACACTTTTAAGCACTCAGAGTACTATAACAACTTGAGACAAATACTTCTAGCATTAATACTTTCTACTAGTCGTCATACAGAAATAATGTGTCCATGTCACTCTTAGAATGCCTTTTATATACTAGATAACAGTTAGATTCTATTGTCTTCTACAAGACCCCACTTAGGTATTTGCAATGGCTCTTTAGGATTAACCTTTTCTTTGCATTCCTTATAAATGGAACTTAATATATAATAGCATACACCCAAGATATACCCAGTAAATCTCATATGACCCATCACAATGTAACCATTCCATTATGTCTTTTTTTAAAGAAAATTAATAAATTGTAACACTTACCCAATACTCATAGCGTAATATTATCCTAATATATACTTGTGTAGTTTGGTACATTGTAGCTATTGCAACGCCTATATCAACTTATCATTTACTACAACTCAATTGGTAATGATTTTAATAAAATAAAATAACTATTATGTTATTACTTCTAATGTTATTAAGTTAAAGCCAATTTATTGTCTTATTGAATATAGGACCACAGTTTGTAATAATTTAATGTAGTTGTAAAACAGTTTTTTTTTTATATATAAATAGGTTCAGTCAATGTATATATTATTCACACATCGGGTACCTACCAATAGCCTACAATACTACCTACTCACCTCTGAACCCGGCGTTTTCGAGCAGCTTGAGTGGATAGTATATCATTGGTTTATTGCCGACCGGTAACAGACACTTTGGTTTTGTGGCAGTCATCTCGGGTATTCGGGATCCTTTACCAGCGGCCATGACAACCGCTTGGAATTCTAACCAATTTTGCATGGCGAATGACGATCGGGTACCGTTAAAGAGAAGGATCTACGCGGTCAGAGGTTAGTCGCGGATTGAACAAGCCACAACTCAATAATTCACACTAGGTAATCGACGAAGACGATAATACAAAAGCAGCGCGGTCGTCAATACCGAAACATTCGAAACTCGCAAAACGCTGGCGAACTGGCGAATGGAATACGTCGTCTGACCATCGGCTCATCACCGAGAATGTGTGATAATTTGATAATGTACAATCCACGTTGAGATAACCGTTATCAGCCGCAAAGACAACGACGCACAGGATAATTTATTACTGCGAGATATGAGCGAAAGGAAGCAGTCAGTAGGACAGCTGCAGCTGACGATTGGAATACTGGACAACGGTTCGGATCCACGATCCAGCCATCAGTCAGTCACCTCAACAGTGGCCAGTGCGGCCATGGGACTGGAAAGTGGAAATGCGATATGCAGGTTTTCCAAGCGGTCCAGTAAGCGTAGAACATAATTTATGTGCTACGGTGCGGCGCAGGCATAAAATAACCGGGCGGTCGGCAACACTGCACGCAGTTGCACCTTTCGGGAACAATAGACTTGTAATAGTAGTGGTCTGACTAGGGAAGAGAGAAAGCCCTACCAAGTACCAGTTCCACCTCCGACCTCCATAGATATCCGATATCCATTATTTTTATTATTGTTTGGTATATATAGTAGGTTTTTGCCCCTTTGTACCTACTTATTACTGCTCATCTGACCGATAACAAAGGATAACTAAAATACGAAATGGATCCTATGAGTTCGTGATAATCGTTTCGTGTCGTCTAGGGACGCTCCGTACAGACAGCCAGCGGTCCGTCGCTCACCGTTCGTCGACGTCGTCATCGCCGCCGCCGCCACCACTGTCATGATTGTCGTCACAGGGTGATCGGGGTCAAAAACCTCTTATTCCAAGGGTTCAAGGTTGCTGACGTTCCTGACCGAGAAAATTCTACGATGCGTTAGCCTGCATAGGTCGACTGCACAGTACATACACACACTCACAAACACTCTTATAGACTCATTCACATACATCACACTCTCCCACGGTGCATAGCACGGTCCACACATAGGAAAGTCGAGTCGGTGTGTATCCTTTGTGTTTCCGAAAACGTGGTACATACTACCCGTCCAAACTGGCGCATCCCGGTTTGCCCAGACGTTCCGGCAACGTCCATCACGATGGAGGTCGACCACTGATTGATGATAATATGCTGGCTTTATGGCACGAAAATGACCGTTATTCGTTTGATGACTCTGACCGGTTTGAAGAGGATTCCCTGTGTACATGGAGCAGCGAACCTGAATCTGCATGCATAAACTGGAGAGGATGGAGGAAACCGACCGAACAGAACACTGAAGACGGTTAGTGCATACTATAAAAGTTAATTCTTTTGTTTTAATTAGGTATGCTAGTTATTCATTTGTTTTATTATATTAGAGGTTGTTTGACTACAAGTACCTATCTTTTTATCCTTTATTGAGTAGGTAGCTATTTATTTACTTGTTTGATCAATATCCCAATTTAGTTGGGTTTGTATTGATTTATTAATGGAAAATTAGTTAAAAAAACATCCAATGGTAGTTCCAATAAATATAATAGATAAAACCAACTTTTAAATTTTAAATACCTTTCAATCATTTAATTTATAATAATATTAAATTATCTATTTAGTAGCCACATAAAGTTTTATTTTTTATTCAAAGTTAAACTTTTATGCATGATTAAATTTAGTTACATATTCAAAAATGAAGTATAATAAATTGTTTATTAAGTTTTTAGGGTATATATGTCTAATATCTACTTATTTAAATAGATCATTACTAAACATTATGCTAATATACTTAGAACCTATCTTTTTAAATTATATTTTATTAAGTTGACACTACACCCGAAAATATTATATCTGTATTTTCAACAGGTAGTATATACAATTATAAATTCTAAAGAGCCCATTTAATTTCTTTGTACTTTATATTACAGTAAATTACACATTATTTAATTTAAAGTAATAATACTTTCTGATTAACGTTATAGGTTTTTAGCAAATCGTGAACATTTTAAAATTCTAAAATGTTAATAACTTGCTTTAAAATTAAAGCATAATAAAAAAACTTCAGAGGTTTACTAGTTAATATTATTATTTTTAAAGTTCATAATAGGTAAATTTACTGGAATGTTAAGTATAAATGAGTTAAATGGATTTTTCAGTTTGAACAATTTATAATGTTATGTATATGTATGACGAAACAACAAATGCAAGTAAAGTTTCCTATTAACTACTATAATATGAGCTTTTATATAAGCAATTTCTACATTGTGTTCAATGAGAAAATATGTCATAGTAAAACTAGTCACTGTGGTAAGGTATCATATAGGGATGCGCAAAAGAATCAATTTTTATAGGGCTGAGAAATTTTTTTTCTTATAACAGAATAATATGTATTAAAATTATATTTTTATTATTTAAAAACATTAAATTGATTGAAAGCCAATTTCCTAAAAAAATCACTAACAATTAAGCATAAGCTAGTTTTTATTTAATGTAATTCAGCACAACTTGCAATCGCTTTAATATGTATACTGTATCTATTAAGCTATTTTTAAAGAATTTGTATACATAAATAATCAATGGCTGCAGAGGAATAGTAATGAGCCCCTCTGCTACTGTCGGTTTAACAGGAAAAATGGGCTGGTTTTTATTATTTGAGGTTTAAGTATTTAAGTCTAATATTAAGCAGTTTATTAATTATTATACTCGTACAGTTATAACAGTTTAAAATCCAAACAAATTAGAGAGAATCATTTATATCTAATTTACATTGCCTTCTATCCTTCAATATAAATAATAAAATTAACAACAGAATAAATATAATTACATTAGTTTTCAGGAAAATATTTTTAAAATTTAATATTTAAGATTTCAAGTTAAATAATTGTAAACTGCTATTCGAAAAATTAATTGCATTATTTATTGATTTAATTTTCAAGTGTTCACTACAGAAAAGAAATAGAGTTCCAATATTTTATTATAGTGCCAACCTTTAGGTACTTTATTTATCTGTTATACAAGTTATCATATTATTATTACATATAGAAGATTTTAAGCTATTGAAACTCAAAAGCTTTGGCTATTTAGTAAGTACTTAGTTAAGTACATGTCGTAACTGCCTATCTATTTGTAATTTGACCTTTATAATAATTTAATTTCCAAAATTTAATTCAAATTGTACATTTTTTTACGAAATTGGTTGGAATATTAGGTAATTATAAAATACATGATATTTAGGTACAACATATGTGACGAACAAAGCATTAGATATTTTAAAAATTCAATAATTATTGTTATTAAATAGAAAATGTGTATTAGCTATTATACCTAGGTATATTTTAATTAGTACATATCTATTAATGACCTAGTTATTCTTTTCCGTGGTTCTGGTATACATATTGATAGGTAACACTTGCAATTTAAATGTGGTGTTACAAGTTCTAGAGTATTAACAGTTTTTCTTGTATTATCTGTAAGTAATTGAAATTATTGTACTTATTGATCATTTAAAAATTCTAAATGCACATGTAAATCAAAGAAAATAGTTGGTTTTTTTTTTTTTTAATTACTTTAAAAGTAATATTATGAATAGAAGGCAAATGAACTCTGGTTTTCATTTGTGACCTAATTAATTTCAATGTGCAGTTATGAAATTTCCCATACTAAGAAAATATTTTGTTTGATACTGATATTTAAAATTACTTAAGAAGTTACTTATTTCGATTATTTTGTTTTATTATTTATTTAATAATTATTTTATAGTATAAGTTAAATCGAGCCTATAAGAAATATAATAATATTGAATAGTATTGAATTATAAAACTATATTTTGGCAATTGTTTGGAAGATTTATCTTGACTATATAATATTGTATACTTGGTAAAGTGATATTTACTTCCTGATAAATTTTAGTAATAAAAAACGTTTTTTTTTTTTTCATTTTTATTTCATGTACAATCATTATAGACTACATAAATTTAGTGTCTAGCTATTGAAAATCTAATATCTATTTTGTTTACTGAACCACATCTTTTTTTCAAATTTTGAATTCTTATAAATATAATGATATTAAAATTATAAAAATATAAAATAATGAATCAATCTATAATCACACATTGGTAATTTTTATTTTATGTATTCTATTATTTCTTTTGCAATAATAATATAAATAAAAATTCTCCACAATTTAAGTGAAAATGTCCAAGTCTCTAGTTTTACCTTTCTCAAACTACCTACAATATCTAAACATATTTTTATCATGAATAATAATATAATTGTACTTACATATATATTTAATATAATTATTAAAATAAAAAGTTAAAGAAATTTAACAAATTAAAAGATAAGTAGGTATAAATGTGGATCTTTAATATTATTAAAGCAATACTTAACTAAAATTAGTAATATATTTTTTTTTTTTTTATAATAAGTACATTTAATTAATTTTCTTTTTTTTTAAATATATTGTGTATACTTAATTTTTTTTTTTAAACTTAAAAGTCAGTATTTAAGAAATATCAATTCCTCTGAGTTATTCAATTTTTAAAGGAGAGAAGTCAGGATTATGGATTTACTAGCTTTAGACTAAAGACTAGTGGTGAATTTGTGTTATGTTTAATTTCTTGTTGATTTTTTTTCTAGTAATTGTTAGTTGTGATAAATTTTTTTTCAATATCGTAGTGTTTGTGAAATGTAAGTATTAGTACTGATGAAGTACCTTAGTCTTGGTGTACTCCTGCTTGACTTTAGAAGCAGGATGATATTAAGGAATAGCCTTAATGGACAAAAAATGTACTGTTTTGATGGTAAGATTGAATTTTCAATTAAATTGGGTCTGAGAAGAACATTGTTAATTTAATAAGCTAATTAGTGTAGCATACGCGGTCAAAAGTTTGAAAAATGAAAACGAGTACACCCGGGCAATCATTTTTGTTTTCGAACAAGTATTCTATTTTATTTGGAATAATTCGACGAATCTAACGAATTTAGAGTTGATTAGTTCTATTAGTTATCCAGTTAGTAGTTAACCTATCGAATTATAAACGTGTGTTTGAAGCATGGTAAATCATTTTGAAAGTTTCCTGAATACTACCTATTTTCATTGTTACATCGTACCCGTGTGAAAAAATGTCAATTTTAAAGCTATTCGCTATAAAATAAATGTACATCGCGAGATAAAAATGATAAAATAGACTAATAATAACCTAAACCTTACTCAACTTGCGGTTGTTATTTTTTCATATTTATTAATAAGATAATATATACAATCTACATCCTAAACTGACGTTAGCGGTTTAAAAATGTGCGATCTGTAAGATAAGATATGATAAGTAGGAAGTAGGTTGT